TCCGAACAGCAGATGTGCCCCCCCCCTGCCTTCCAGCCCCCCAGCTCTAACCTCTCGCCCAGCCCTGTCGGCTGGGGCCCTGCACGCGGGCCAGTGCTGAGCATGCTGGGGCCAACCCAGCCCAAGCTGGGACGACATGAGCGCAACTGGGCGCTGAGCAGAGTCTCCGGCACCAGCTGCAGGCCATTAACCGTGCTCAGCTCATTCCTTCCACGCACAGGGCCAGGAAACTGGGGAGGGCTCTGTCTAGACTGTGCCTCACGCCCACCCAGTGCACATCCTGCTCCGCCCCACACAGCCATCCCCCAGCCCTCTGCCCTGGCCAGTTACCCCATGGCCAGCCCCCGGCTCCCCACAGCACTGAGGCACAGGGGTGGGAGGTGGGACTGGAGAGGGAAATCTCTGTTGGACACAGGGACACAGCACTGAGCTGCCTGTGTGACAGTGCCCAGCTGGGAACTCCAGGCCTTGCAAGCTTCACTTCACAGGGCCCAAGTGGGGGGGGAAGGGGGACCTAGGGAGCTTTGGCTGGCAGGGGAGACCTAGGGAGTCCTGGCCAGGGTGGTGGGGAGGATGTGGGGAGCCCTGGCCAGGGTGGTGGGGAGGATGTAGGGAGCCCTGGCCGGGGTGGTGGGGAGGATGTAGGGAGTCCTGGCCGGGGTCGGGGAAGAGGATGTAGGGAGCCCTGGCCAGGGTGGTGGGGAGGATGTGGGGAGCCCTGGCCAGGGTGGTGGGGAGGATGTAGGGAGCCCTGGCCAGGGAGGGGCTGGAGCAATGAGCACAGAGGGGGTGCATTGAAACCATTGAACCCAGCTGTGAACAGATCTAGAACAGAAACCACCCAAGTCAGAGGGTGCTGCAGCGCCCCTCCCCACCTCACCTCACCCCACCCCTGCCCAAGCCCTCTGGAAAGGGGGGCCCAGGAGCCTCACCCTGGGAGGGACGGGGTCGGGGGAGGGTACCCAAGAGCCTGGCCTGCAGGGAGTGAATGAGGGGTTCCCAGGTGAGCCTGGCTAGGGGAAAGATGGGGGGGGTACTTGAGACCTCTGGCCAGGTGGAGACTGAGTGGAGGATATCCAGGGGCCGGGTGGTGGGTGGCGCTTGCCGGCCAGAAGCTAGGAGGATAGGTGGAGGTTACACATTGGATCCTGGCAGGGAAAGGGGGGGGCGGGCAGAGGAGCCAATGGAGGTACCCAGCGGTCCAGGTGGGGG